GTTGTTGTTTTTCTTGTTGTTGTTGTTATCGCGTTATCTTAATGAATGTCTTTGAGATAAAAAAATATTATTATTTTTTATACAAAAAAAAAACTACTTTTTCACCATAGGATGTCTCAAATGAAACAGAAGCATCAAATTCAAATTGTTATTGGAACACGAACTTTGCAAAATTTCATTCGTCTTTCGAAAAGGAATACCAATTTCACCGTGGCAGCAAACAATGGAAGAGCCCAAGGTGATATTGTTTGATGAACAAACTAAAGATGCAATGAAGCAGTTTAGAGATGAAACATCAGTTGATATTCTACAATGTAGTTAAGCTTAATTGAAAATACTAAATGCAGAGTATAATTTTTACAATACTAAAAAACATTTTATGTAACTATTTTATCTATAATTTTTTTAAATAGTTTAAATATAGATGTTTTCCTATTTTATCATGTAGATTAATATACAAAAAATTATATTATTCATATTAAAAGTTGAAGAAAAAATAATAATGAGTGTGAATCATAAAATAGTGAGATGAAAAAACAAAATAACTTATAAATTATAGTTATGAACATAATAGTTGTAATAATAATAATAATAATAATATATCGTTTTGAGATTGATTTGTCGGAAAGTAGAAAGAGTTTGAAGAAAACAAAAATAATTGGAAAAAACTGGAAGGAATTGGAAAAAAACTGGAAGAACTATAAGAAATTGGAAGAAACAGGAAAAAATTAAAAATAAACTGAAAGAAACTGGAAGGAACTAGAAAAAATTGGAAATTAAGAGTTCAAAATCTAAAAAATAGGCTCTAAAAGCATAAAAGTCTTACTTTAATTTTTTTTCAACGTTTTATTTATTTATTGTTTTGAATCCTTTTTCAATTTATACAATTACACATAGACCTTAGTTCTCATTTGAGTTAAATCGCGGGACTAGGCTCGGCTCTTCCAAACCTGTTAGCAGGTCCTTTTGATCAGAAAGAAATTTACTTACGAGTATCAAATTTGTAGACCCCCCAACTTGCCAAATGCCAACGACACTAATAAGATTAAAATCTTATGATAGACAATGCATAATTGCATAGTAGTAGTGCTATGATACAGACAAGACCCAGTAGTAGTGCTATCACATCCATTGCATGAATATAACGTAAGGGAGCACGGCCTATAACTACTTGTTTGGCCTAAGGCTTGATCGCCTGATGAACAAATATAAATATATATACATATACATATGTGTGTAGACTCTCCTCGTCCCTATTTTGACAATAATTTTATTTTCTCTCTCTTCTCGATAACTTTGGTTTATTTTGTGTGTTTTCATTATTTATTTGATAAATTAAAACATTCTTTTCATTTCTTATTTTGTAAAACTTTGGCCGTAGTTTTTTAAAATGTAATTTTTATTTTTTTGATGTATCAATTTGTAAATAAAATAATTTCAAACATCGTGAAATTTTACATTCGCAATTCGCACTTTGGTTTATTTGTGGTTTATATTTATATATATATATATATATATATATATATATATATATATATATATATATATATATATATATATATATATATATATGTAGGACCTTAGGCGCTACCAACTCTTCTAAAACCAATTGGTAGTAGAAGAGGCGCATACCCTAGCCTTATAGTGCATTCAACACACAAGCGCCCACGACATTCGATTGTGACTTGGCTCACATAGCCTCCGCCACGGGACAATTGCTGCACACATGGCCAACAATATATATATATAAAATATTATATTGTATAATTATGGTAGATACCCTATATTATTGCTAGAGTTATTTTTATATAATATCACCTTATATTGTTAGTAATTAATGTAGAAGATTCTAGAATATATTTCAACACCTAATAAAAAATACATTGTCTTGTATTCCTCTCTTATTAATCAAGCAATAAAGCATTCCTTATTACGGAGTACTTTACATGGTATCGGAGCATCTTCGCTCTTGGTGACCAAATATTTTCCTCTTCTGCCGCCGCCGCCGATGATTTGTTCGCCGGCGACGACATCACCTACACTTGTCCCTCCTTTGATCTATTTCCTTCCTAAATCTCTCTACCAAAAAATCCACTAGTCAACTACGATCGTCCGTCTTCAAATCCATCCTCGCCTCTTCATGATTTCAGACCAAATTCTCACCTTAGTGTGCTCAGTCAATGGCATCCTAACAACACCTCATTCCTTCTGTTTCTTCTCTAAACCAGTTGTGCACGACTCTAATACACGTCAGCCTTCTCCCTCCTTCTGCGACGTTAGTAGTAGGAGTTTCTCCGCAGCGGCTAATCTCTTCTCCTTGTCGGTACCAGCGCATCTCTCTCCCGACAATCTATCTTCTTCTCTTTCAATCTGGATGCATTCAACCTACTCTGATCTAATTGTAGATCTACCTCTTCGCACGATTTTGGTCATGATTCAAGTTATATTTGATGTTCAATCTTCACCTCCTACGACCTCGGGAGCATGTAAAATATATTAATTATTTAATATATTTAATATTATATCGTATAATTCAAGTAGATCCCTTATATTGCTAGAGTTATTTTTACGTAATACTCCCTCCGTCCCTTAAAAAAGTTCTCGTTTTGACTTTTTGAAGATTTAAGGGGAGTATATTTTAGTGTTGACTTTCCAAAAATGCCCTTTGATGTGATAGATAAAGTAGGATGGAATGGATAGCTAGATTAATAGAGAAAAAATGTGATGTGATAGGTATGTTAAAAATTAGTAGGGATCAAAGTGACTTTTTAAAAGAAAATGGGAAGTGTTTTTTGGGACGGATGAAAATAGAAAAAGAAACTTTTTTGCGGGACGGAGGGAGTATCACTTTATATTGTTAGTAATTAATGTGGAGGATTCTAGAATATATTTCTCAATCTATAAATACGGAGTATATTGTCTAGTATTGATCCTCTTCTATTAATCAAGCAATAAAGTATTTTTTATTACTTTACACATGTGGTAATCAAAATAGGGAAGAGGAAGTATATTTTAGCTGTCATTGACCCTGGCCTAAAGAATATTACTACTCCGTATAAGTTGGAGATGAATGTGGAGAAGAATGAAGGAGGTGCAATATAAACACAGAGATTTTGGGAGTATAAAGAACAAGTATCAGTGTGTTAAAGAAGACTATATATAAGATACCTGCAAAACAAAGAGAGTATGACAGCATGAGAAAGGATTATAAGAAAATATAGGATGAGATTTTGAGAATAACATAGAAGGTGAAGAAGATTAATTGTGAACAAAAACCACAATCAGCTCCATGTTACTTATGAAGTCAAGGCCAATTTCGTAAAAGCTAGACACGTACTACACATTTTTTTTTGCACATAAAACACAACTTCATTACCAAACACCAAGTTTCAATACATCAACACCACACAGCCCTACATTTTACTCCTATACAAAACAAAACTACTAATATAATAAAGTGCGAATTGTATGGCCTCCTCCATGGTGCATATATCCTTATGCATTCTCCTATTCCTCATTCTCCGTGCATTATTCGGTCCAAACCGGTCCCTTTCGCGTCCGGTCTTTTGTGCTCACATTTTTCTTATTCGGTCTTTGGTCCGGTTTGGTCCATCGGGTTTCGATCTCGACCAGTGGACCGGTCAAAATTTATTTATTTCTTATATTTTTTTCTATATAATATTATACGGAGTAATATAGTTTTAATGCTTTTTCTTATACTTAAAATTACTCTAACTTTATTACGGAGTACTAAGATTTATTTCAATTGTAATATTTTTATTTTTTTAACAATTGTTTTTTAAAAAACTAGTCCAATTCAAATTAAGAAATAAGATTTTTAATATGAAAAGTGTGAAACAAGTAAACAATACTTTTATGTTAGTAACCAATGCATTTCAAACTTATGTACCAATACTATAACTTAAGTTTGTACTTCATCAATAATGAAACTCTAATAAACAAAAATAAACATTACAAAAAATCTCTCAAACAAAAAAAAATAAAACAAATATCTATTTATCAAAATAAACTGAAAACACAAAAAAGAACATTATAGAAAAGTAAAAACAAAATAAAAAGAAGGATATATACTCTCTATGTAAAATAAAAATTACAAACAAGTTTTTCGTAAAACGGATAGAATTTTGGCCGTTTTTAAAGGTATGAAATTACCTTTGAAATAGAAATTAATAATTAAAACTTGTAGAGAAAATATATTGGTATATGAAATTACCTTTTAAAGAGTATTTCACATCAAAACTTGTAGAGAACATATATTGGTATATGTCCTATTAAATTGAACTAAGTAATTTAATATTCCCTCCGTTTGGAAAAACCCTTCCCACTTTGAAAATAAGGCAAATTAAGGAAGTGTAAAATTATAGTTGACTTCCAATTTTGCCCTGATGTGATGGGTAAAAGTAAGATGTGATGGATTGATTATTAAAGAAAAGTATGATGTGATAGGTAGAGTATGAAAAAGTAAGGGTAAAAGTGATTTTTTAATAGAAAAGAGAAGTGTTTTGTTGGAAGTGAAAAAAATGAAAGAGGAAGTGTTTTTGAGAACGGATGGGTAGGTTGTATTCAATCTTTTAATGTGTTCAATTGAAGTGTCTTGTTGTCTAATCCAATGATCCATATCTCATCCTAGATTCTATCATGGTATCAAAGCCAGCTCTAGCCCAAATCATTTGTTAAGGTATCTGTCTAGACGTGCATTATTCGGTCCAAACCGGTCCCTTTCGCGTACATTTTTCAATTTAAAAGGTATTTTCATTTCTATTCTTTTTTCTTTTGTTTTTATTTTGATTATAATAAAGTAACGATATAAAATTAATGAACAAAAAATGAGAAATGAACTTTAGTAAAAAAAAGAAGGTATATTATTAGTTTTCGTATCATGAAAATGAAATATACGTTAATTAAATATACGTTAATTCTTGTTATTTAATTAATTTTTATTACAAACACAAAAAATTTATTATTGAAACATTATACAGAGTAAAAAATTACTCCGTAAAAGACTAATAAGGAAGTCATGGGGAACTTCGAAAAAAATTGTCCAAATCACCCCACTCCTCGTTCACAAGATCCTACTTCTGTTCGGCCAACACAGTCAGTCTGCTATTGCGACGCCCACAAGCTCAAACCCACATCAATGGCGTCAATTAACTTCAACCCTTTCAACGGCAACTGGTTCAGCAAACCTCCAAACCCTATTAAATTCGTCGATTTCCACTCGCTTTTTCATTCTGTAAACCCATGTAAACTACGAGTGAAGAGTCCACCTTTTGCCGCTATGTCATTCCCCTTTTCCGGGAAGAACAAGGAGGACCAGCCTCCTGGGAAGTACGCCGAGATGCTTGACCAGTTCTTCTGGGAGTGCGAGAACCTGCCGGACCACCGTCACTCCTCGGAAGTGGAGAAGATCCTGAACGAGGATCCGATTTTCGAGAAGAAAGAGAACCCGACCAAAGAGGAGATTGAGGAGAACGAGAGGTGGATCGCTGAATTAAAGGATAGCCCGCTCCTGCAGTTCCTGGCCCGCACAGAAGAGATCAAAGACGAGATTAATGAGCTTGAGCTTCGAGAGAATTCCTCTCCTTACAGGAAAGAGGACAAGAAATTGTGGCAGGTTTTGTTGTGCCCTAATTGCATCTTTGCACTCATATTTTTCATGGATTGTTTGTGTTGTTTAAACTTGTATCAATCCAAGTGCCAGAAACTACCTAACTGCTTTGTTTTTTTTTAATTTAAATTTAAACTAACTAACTTCTGGACTGGAATTAATCAACATTCAACCCCTTGATTCCAGTCCTTGTTCCTGCCGAATCTTCAATGCCCATCAATTGTCTCATCTCGATAAATTTGACCCTCGGTAATGCTTTAGTCAAGATATCAGCTTTCTGCTCGTCACCACTTACATGCTCAATCCTTACTAGCTCTTTCTCGACACATTCACAGAAGAAATGATATCGAGTGTCAATATGCTTACTTCTCCCATGGAACACTAGATTCTTCATTAACATGATTGCAGACTTGTTATCCACGAGAATTGTTATGGGTTCCATGCTTTGAGCAGTGATTTCTTCAAGCAAACCTTTTAATCAAACGGCTTGACCTGTGGTTTCCATTGCCGCCATGAACTCAGCCTCACAAGAAGATAGTGCAACGGTTTTTGGCTGCACCATGCTATCGGCCCACCCCCATAATAGAAAATCATTTCAGTTGTACTCTTTCCATCTACCAGATCAGTCGCATGTGAGCTGTCACTATAACCAACCTAATTTGCATCGCCATTCCTCCTGTACCGAATCCCATAATTGATTGTACCCTTCACATATCGCAGCACCTGTTTTACAGCTTGCATACGTGATGTTTTTGGTAACTCTATGAATTGACTGGTTATTCCAATTGCATAACTGATATCTGGCCATGTATGGGTTGTATATCGAAGACACCCAATATCCTTTCGGTACTCAGTTGCATCAACATAATTCTTTTCCAAGCTTGAGACTTCCACGATCAGTTCTCAATGCTTTCACCTTGTAACCACTTTCCAATTCAACAGAATTCTTTGAACTTGTTGAATGCCTTAGATGCTTGGTCCTTGAACTTGATAACATATACCCACATGAATCTGCTGAAATCATCAACTAGCAATAGAAAGTACTTGTTCCCAGCTGGTGTACTTGGTGTAATAGGATCACATAGATCAACATGTATTAGTTCAAGGGGTTGTTGTGCTCGATAAGAAATTTGGGATGGGAATGGAAGACATCGTTGTTTCCCAATGAGACAAGCTTCACATAATTGTGACTGGTGATTTATGTTTGGCTCACCAATCACCAATTTTTCTTTTGATAACTTCCTTATAGCATCAAAGTTTAAATGTCCAAGGCGTGCATGCCAAATCCTAGCCGCCTCGTCCATCTTTGCAAGTAAACATGTTGCTGGAACTATATGAAGACGTACCTTATAGAGTCGGTTTGGAGACTTCTTCACTTTCATTAATGTTGCTCCTGATCGGTCATATAGCCAAAGAAAACCATCCTCCATAAGAATTTTGCATCCTACCTTGTCAAGTTGACCCAAACTTAGTATATTATTACATAAGTCCGTAATATAGTAGACGTTGGTGATGAGCCTCTGGTCACCATTCTTACATTGCGAAAGAATAGACCCTCTGCTGGTTCTATGGCATCCAATGGTTCTATGGCATCCCAAATTCCTTGGGCATACATAAACGACTGCATCTTGATAGCCCAAGCCATATAATTTGTTGTAGTGAGTACATGACATTGGTACGTTGTCGAGCCTCCCTCTTAAACTGGGGTAACTGCAAGAACATCGTTTGTTTTTTAGAATTGATGGCCTCCATCACAGACTATTGTTTATCAAGGTGTATTTCAAGAAAAACTAGTGATTAGAGACCTGTGTTTGATTTTTTATCAGGGCTCCGATACCAATTGAGAGAAAATATCAGATCTGGAGTATATAAACCGAGTGCTTTTTATTGTGGTACACCTGTCCAGAATTCTGTGTCCATACATATAAATAGAGGACTAACCAACACAACTATTACAAACAAACATAATAGTTACTAACCAACACATCTGTCAGAAACTAACACAACTGCCAGAAACTACCTAACTGCTTTGTTTTCTTTTAAATTTAAATTTAAACGAACTGACTTCTGGACTGGAATTAACCAACAGAAATGAGCACTAAATCCATACAAAGTTTAGCCTTTCTTTAGATTGTCTCTGTATAAGGTATTAAAATGATCACTGAGAATATGAAATGATACATATTTCCTTAAAAAAATTCTACCCCCAAATAAGATCGAATGTACTCCCAAGTATAATCAGAGAGCAATCATTATAACATGTAGTAGAATAACCCAAACCAAACAAACCCAGTTTATCCATTCAAGAGTAAGTTTTGGGGGTGAAATTGACACAAATTTTACCTCTATTCCAATGGGTAGAGGAACTGTTTCCTTGAGAACCCTGAAAAACAAGGACACATAGTTTGAGTGACCCTTTTTTAATGGTATTGGTTGTACTTTTGCCATCATAGTTTATAGACATCCTGATAAAGCTTGATATGTTTGTTTCTGAAGGAAGTCCCTAATGTGATTGGATTGGATGGAAGGCCTATGCCTAGGAAATCCATAAAGACAAAAGAAGAGTCTGATGATAAATTTTGGGATTTTGCAAAGCAATTCTTTTTTGGACTCTGGGGTTTCCGACAAAGGCCATATCCACCTGGGAGGCCCATAGATGTTGCACAGGCTATCGGGTATAAGAGGCTTGAAAAGCGGTATTATGATTGTAAGATCTATACTCTAAATTCAAGTCACAAGTTATCAAAGTGTTATTATTATAATGAGTAAGGCTATGTGCAGGGAAATGATAGAAAATTCTGGAATCAATTTCAGTTCTCAAGAGAATGAGTGAGGGTTGATTCCCACTCAGTTAAAGGATATTTTCGTGAAATGCATAGCAGTTTTCTACACCTTTTCTCTATCGAAACCAAATAAAAAACACTGAATCTCTCCCATTTGGAAGTAGGGTTTGAGGATGGTGAGATGTACACAAGTCACAAAAGTTGTGTCTACCCACCCTTATGAGTAGAGATGCTACTTGAACCTTGATGAGAACTACTTAATTGTACCCTCTGGTCTCATATTTAAGTTCCTTTTTTTTTACATCCCACAGTAAAGTCTACATTTCTTTAAGAATGGATTGTGCGGCTCATATTATTTCTCTCGTCTACATAAATTTCAATCACTCAATTTCACATATTCTTGCACTCCATGAAAGTCAAAGCGGAAACTTAAATATGGGGTGGAGGGAGAACTAAAATAGTCTCATTGCATCTTTAACCGATATTTGTGATTACTTGTGGACGATTTGCTCTTATTTTATTGAGCTCTAAATATTTAATTGTGGGCAGTTATAATGAAGACGGGTGGATGGTTCTACAAGGACCGGTTAGGTCGTTCTAGGGGACCCATGGAATTAATACAACTTAAGACTGCATGGGCCGCTGGAATCATTGACAGGCATACTTTCATTTGGGGAGAGGATATGGATGAATGGGCTCCTATTTCCATGGTTTATGGCTTGGAACGTGCTATTGCACCCTGGGAAGGTTCGTTATCAGTTTTTACCTACACGTCCGATGTCCTTTTCCCCCACTAATCAAAGAACAGTCCTATGGTAATTAGAGAATCTGAGGCATCATGATATTCAAGTATTCAACCCAATTCTTTAATACTATGCATGTTTCGTTCAAGGAATTTGAAAGAGAAGAAAATGATATGGAAAATAAATTTTCTTGTTTGGTTAGAGTGGAAAAGCAAATCAAAGTGGAAGGAAGAGAAAATGAGAGGAGAGAACAAACCAAGAAGAGGAAAAACTACTTTCCTTCCATTTTTGTGGGGAAAAAGGAGAAAACTCTTTCTTTTTATTCCCTTCCGAATTCCACTAGCCAAACATAGTGTAAATGTTTGTTTGGAGGGGAAAACCTTGGAGGATTTAGTCTATATCTTGATTCAAAAAGGCGATTCGAATGTCATGTGATCACCCAATATGGTAATGCTTAAATATTAGAAAATCTCAAATATTCTTTTGATAATTATTTATCAAGATATAGACTAAGCCCTCTAAAGCCCTTCATCCAAACTGACCCTAAAATCAGGCATCGAAATCGATGCCCATGCAAACCAAGCTAGCCTGTTGACGTTTAAAATGTGATGGATTTGCAGTTAGGCTAGGGGCAGCTGCCACAGCATTCCTCCACAAACTCCAGAAGGGCATACCTCCTTGGGTCCCTCTCAAAGGGCACGAGGAGAAGACGTACAAACAGCTCCAAGACGAAGCATACGAGAGCAAGAGCCGCGACTCGGCCGTTCTGGAAGCAAACGGCGGGGTGTGGCCCGGCGTAAGGACCCCGAGCCACGCCCTCTTTCTCTGGGCAAGTGGGTCCGAACTCACATCCCTCCTGGAGGAGGACCACATGCCCAACAAATTCATCCCAAAAGATCTGAGGATCGAATTATCGAAGGTCATCCCGGGGCTGAGGCCCTGGGAGGTCCTCAGTGTGGAACAAGCAATGGATCAGATCACATACAGACGCGAGTGGTATCGCGAGCCCCTCGGCACGTTCACCACGGGCCCACCCTACATATATGACTGGAACAGAGACGTCCTCCAGGTGCTCGATACCCTTGAGGACCTTAGTGATAGACTGTACAGGATGGCGAGGCAGAGCGTCCCTGGGTTTTCCACTGTGATGAAGATCGTGTCAAGGGATAAAAGGGCCAGAAGGGAGAGGGTAAAGAAGGAAATAGAAGCGAATAGGATTGCTGAGCTTGAAACTGAGCTCATTGGTCGCCCTTTCACTAAACAGATTGTTGACAGCAGTAAAAAATCTACTACTACTACTACTACCAGGTGAATTTTTGGAGTGTTTTTGTACTGTGGAGAAAGAGTTAACTTTTACTAGTCTTAGCTCTTAGATGAAGTGTATTTTGCTGGTCCAAAAGGCTTCTGAGCTGTTGGAGTTATTGTAACGTAAAACATTATTTGTAGCAACTGAATTCCCTCCTCGAAAATGTGCCCAACTTTTTCATTTATGCTCGTGAATATCTTTATTCATTTCCCTAAATTTTCCTAACTTTTGTGAAAAATATCACTTATCTTAACTTTTTTCATTCGTCTCAAAATAAAGTTGCAGTTCATTATCCAAAAAATCAAATTTGTTTAGATTGTATTTGCGTATCTCATGTCAAACCTATATTAGTATAATATTATTCACTTTAGATCATGTTTTTACGGATTTATTCTTAAAAACCGTGGAACATTTTTATTTTGGTTACTTTGTTTTTTCAGATGTAGGATTGTTTGCCTCTCACAAAATTATACAAGGTATCTTCCTTTTTTTTTTTACGTATTTTCATTAGATCATTTGATACTCCAAAAAAATATGATTTGTGTACTCTTTAATTTATTAGAAAAATTAGCCTGGTTTTCTTCATGTTACTTAGTAATGTCATATGATGACTCGGGGAGCTTACGGTGTCCCATTCGTAACAGTTCCTAACTTTCTAACCCCTTGATAAAACTCATATCCTTTCAATTGTACTCCTAAGTTTATTTGAATTTGGAGTCAAAATTTTGACTCCGAAGTCAAATAACCTTAGGCGTGCAATTAAAAAGGTCGGGGTGAGTCTGGGTCAAAGCGGGGTAGGGGTTTGCCGGAGAGTTAGAGAAATAAGAACTATCAATTCTAGTAATGTCAAAGCAATTGTCCCCTGCAAAAAAAAGGAGTTCATAATTTGATTTGGGACAATTTAAAAAAGGAAGTATGAATTTGGGAGAGGGAAGTATATGTGACACGTCGTCTTCTGGAGGTATGGTTTCACAAAAGACCGACTTAAAATATTACGGAGTATCTAGTTGGAGTGGAGGCGGCAGGAGCTTATTTTCCTTTCCTTTTCTTTAATACCGTCAAGAAATCTATCCATCTTTAATTTATTTACTCCGTATCTATCAATCAGAAAAAGCAGAAATTCAATCAAATTTAGAAAAGAAAAAAAGAAGATATACACAGAGATGGACGACGGAGTAGAGAACAGAGTGGATGATCTGATGAAATCACGAGATGAAGAAGAAAGCAGCGGTGGGGTAGCTGGAGAGGAGTCTAATAATACTGGGGTCATCAAGACCTTCATTTCCGCCTTGATCTCCACTGTGAAAGATGATGAAGATGAAGAAGAAGAGAAAGGTCAAGGGGATTGGGAAAACGACGCAGAGGGGACTGGCGGCGGAGCTTTAGGCGAAGAAACCGGCGGCAGCGGCGGCGGAGGAGGAGGAGGAATCGTCGACAACAATTTGATTTCTAATTTTTCCAACCAGAGCGAAGCATCATCAGGAGACAAGGGGGAGGACGCGAAGCAGAGTATTAGCGGAGAGAATGAGCAAACTAATGCTGACCATGGCGGCAGCGGCAGCAGCGTTCTGGCTACCATTGTTTCTCACTTGCCCAAGCCTATGTCCGGTATGAAGACTATGAACTAGAACTGCTACCTCTTTACGAGTATTAATTAGATTAAATTCTATAAAAAATTCCCACTTATAGGTTGTTTTATATATTTAGTCTCTATATATTAAATATTACTAATTTAGTTCTCAATTATTATATTATTTTTCACCAATGGTCCTTTGCTAACGTTTTTGTTAAGAACATGGATAAAATTATATTTTCATACTTCTATCTTTCCTCAATTAAGGTTCCTCCCTCATCTCGTACTCTTTCCCAATCTCGTCATTGAGTTTGAAGCTCTAACCCCAAAACTAAAATGATCATTCATCTCTCAATTATTAGTCTTTCTGGTGGAACCTAAAATCAAAACCAATAAGCTTTATGGATGAGTTTTATCGGTTAATCTCAAGAAATTGCAAAGAAAATAAACATTAAAACTCATCCATGAAGGTTACTGGTTTCGAATTTGGATTCCAGCAGTTCGACAAACAATTGAGAGAAGAGTGATGATTTCGGTTTTGGGTTCAAAGCTTCAAACTCAACGACGGGTTTGGGAAAGGAGTGCGAGGGGAGGGAGGAAGCTTAATTGATGAGAGAAAGGAGTGTGAATTTACAATTTTATCCACATTCTTGACGGAAATGTTAACAAATGACCATTCGTGGAAATGAATATAATAATTGGGGACTAAATTAGTAATATTTGATATGTAGGGATTAAATATGTAAAACGACTTATAACTGGGAACTTTTTATGGAATTTACTCTATTAATTAATAAACTTATGGAGTATTACATATTAGTGTAAAATAAATTCATTATATTTGTCTTATACTACCTCCGTCCCAGAGTATTTGTCAACTTTCATTTTTACACATCATCCAATACACTTCTTTAATCCATTTTATCTTGTAATTTGTATATTAAAAAATTATAGAAATTATATATTAATAATCTATATGTTAAGACAAATCAAACAAGATCACACATGACTATATTTAGGCTTACACATTGAGAGAATTTGATGAGTCAAAGTGCTTAGATGAACAGTTTCAAAAGTCAAAAGTGGACGAATACTTCAGGACGGAGGGAGTATAATATTAAAAAAAGAAATTTGAAGTAATTATTTATTTAATTGTTACATCATTTGATTAGTGTAAGATTGTTACATCAATTCAATTGGAGTACCTACGATGCTTCGATCGTAAAATTGATTGTTTCTACCCCTCTTAACCCCTTAGCCCGCCTTGTCCTCCACGCACCTCGCCAATTTCAATGTACCAAATTTTGTTGACTTTTGGGTCAAATTTTAGACCCAAATTTGAGGTAATAAAATTGGCGGGGTTGCGGGCTCATGTTGAGGACGAGGCGGGTTAGGAGGGATTTACCGGGGGTTAGGGGGTAGGAATAATCATTTTTACGATCGAAGCATCATAAGTGCTCCAATTGAATTGGTGTAACAATGTTACACCAATTGAGTTGGTGTAAGATTACCCCTTTTCTTTAAGGATTTGAACTTGTATACTCATTATAAAGTCACAAATTAAGGTGAGCCTCTCATCGTACTTTTTTACTTGTTTGAATTCGTATGATGTAATGGACAGATGGGGTTACGCCAACGACGGAAGAGGCGTCTATATTGATACATTCAGTGGTCCATGACTAAAATCTATAAATCAATCATTAGTGGGTATGTATACATGCTTTAATTTTGGATTAATATTTTCTTCATATACTCATGTGTACATTTTTTCAAAATTAATAATTAGAGATTGTTTTTGCTCATCCCCTCCATCTTTCCTTGTGTTCTAGCTAGTTGTAACCTTGTTGGAACTTTGTATTTTATAAATTGAACCATAGTTTTATTAAAACTCGACTCATTCCATACACTAATTTTTAGTCCGTGACATTTCAACTTTTAGAACTATCATAATTCGGGTAAATTTCACCAATGGTACTTGAACTTTAGCTGGAATTTCGAAATAGTACCCAAACTTCAAATCTTTTCAAAAGAATCCCTGAACTTACACAATCCTTTCACTAAAAGTCCATTTGCCCGTTTCCGGGTTAACTTCCGGTCATTTGGGCCAAATTAGAATTTTATATATTTTAAAATTTTCAATTTGACCCATTTCTTTTTTTACTTTTTCTTCCCCCTCCCACTCCCTTCTTTTTCTTCTTCTTTCACCCCATTTCTTCTTCTTCTTCTTCTTCCTCTTCCTCTTCTCTCTGTACCTCATCACTCTCGCCTCTCTGTCCTTTCCCGCCAACTGTACGCCGGTGGAGCTGCTCAGATCGCCGCCGCCTGCCACCGTTTGCCCCAGAGAGTACGAAATTTCCGACGTCGAGCTCCCCTACGGCACCACCCCTGCATCAAACGACGTCAAAGAAACCTGAAATATTTAGATTCGAAATCAGAATCTATAGAACGCCCGGAAAATTCTTCTTCCAATTTCGACTGGGCGCTGTTATTATAAAAATTGAATTAAATTATGAATTCATAGATTTAATTAGTGTTTAGAAATTAGAAATCAATCATTTCTACTCACACTGTGACTAAGTGAGCGGAAATTGGAAGACATTGCACTGGGGGTTGCCAAATCGATGTCGAACCGGTTCGAGATCGATTGGGAAGGTTTGGATGATCGGACGGGGACGATGCTATCATTCCAGCGTCGTATTGTCCGACACAATTTGTGTTGGAAGGGGAGACGTGATAGTCAAAATCTAAGAACCGATCGGATTCCGGGAAGGACGAAAACGAGGGTTTCATATCGGGGATGAGAATCTAAGATTTGGAGGGAGTTGCTGGATCCCACGGGAGGGGATCGGCGGCGGCGTAGGACGAACGGAGGGCCACTTCGCGGCGGTCACTGGCGATGGCGAAGCAGTTCTTCCCCACCATAGCCACTAGGGCACTTCCGTTGTACTCGAAGATCTGCTCAGCAATTCGCAGGCATGAATACACATTCGATCAATCATGCAGATACAATTGAAACTTGGAAGCTGATATACTTACCGACATGCAGGATCGGTGAAGAAGAAGAAAAAGGATGAAAGGGGGTGAAAGAAGAGAAAAAGAAGGGAGTGGGGAGAAAAGAAAAAAAAATGGAGTTAAATTGAAAATTTTAAAATATATAAAATTCTAATTTAGTCCAAATTACCGGAAGTTAACCCAGAAACGGGCAAATGGACTTTTAGTGAAAGGATTGTGTAAGTTCAGAGATTTTTGTGAAAGGATTTAAAATTTAGGTACCACTTCGAAATTCCATCAAAAGTTCAGGTACCACTGGTGAAATTTACCTATCATAATTCATATATCCTTCTTTTAAATCAAATAAATGCGTTCAATAGGCGCACAATCACCAACCTTAACAAACTCTTTGTACCATGTTCGTCTAAAAACTAAGTTCAATTTTTTTGAGATTTAACTAAATGATATTTTCATTCGTTAGTGTTAGACGATATTAGTAAGCATATCTCTGATGGTAGTCTTTGTATTTTAGTTAGTTTCTATTATTGATCCTAATCCTAGTTAGGGTTGTACTCCCTTCATTTGCTTATACTCTTGCATGTATTGATTGTATTCCATTATATTTTGAGTAATACTTCTTCTATCCAATAATAAACTTCTCATTTGAACAATGTGTAAAAACTCATCTTTTTTCAAATTACTTCATTTAGAAATTAGTATATCATAAAAAAGTACAAATTACATTATTCAAAATTTTATAAATAATTCTACAAAACAAAATGTGATACACTTCCTTTCAGACTAAAGTATTATCTTGGTAATCATTCTACAAAACAAAATGTGATGCTAATAGAAGGAATTTTTGTAATTGTAGAATGAGTCAAGAAACCGCTCACGGTCAACCAGATGCTATCCTTCCTGCCTTAATGGCAAATGTTTTGCAACAAGTGACCAATGCCCCTGTGTTTCATCCACCACCTCCACCACCACCTCGTTTGATCACTTTCAAAACTTTAAAAGACAATGGTACCAAAGAAATTCTAGGAGATCAAATTTCCGAACCCCAGATCGCTCTTGATTGGATCGAGCAAACCGCTCGTGTACTACAAAATCTTGTAATATATATAGCAAATTACAAATATATTATTTATGATAAATACTGCATAAATAAAGTGACGTGCAACGTAACCACAAAAACTTTTAAATATTTAACATTCTGATATTTATGCTAATTTTATATTCTATTTAATGTTTTTGCAAAAGTAGTTTTTAATTTTTTGTGCATAAAAAATAAAAATATTTTTTTATTATCTTAAAAACATTCATTAAAATAACGTGATGACAACAACAACAGCAACAGCAGCAACAACAATAATAATAATATTCCCTCTGTCCTATATTGGTCTTCACACTTTGACTAAAGGTCATTTTTAAAGGATGGATAATTATGGATTTGACTTTCAGAAATACATACCTCTCCTTCCCACAAGATAATTATGGACAGGTTACGATTCTACGATGGGGAATAGATGAACTCGTTGAAATCAAAGATTCGGGAATCCATGCCGGCAGAGATGATTGTGTGAGTCAGCGACGATTGATTGAGTGAGTCAGCGGAGACGATTCATGCCATAATTTAACCAAATTCAAACAACCACTTCAAAAGCTAAAAAGTTACCAGAGCTCTTCTTTTTCTTCAATTAAAATCAGATCTCAAGAAACAAATCTTCTTTCTCTGATTTTCACATAGCAACACAGGGAGAGGTCAAGGGAGGTTGGTGATGCTGGTGATGGCACCAGCGATTGGAATGGTGACGGCGACAACAATCTCTTCCTCCTAGCTATAGTCACGATCGGAGCCAGCTAAACAAATCTAATCGGATTAGATCTGCGATAAGATTGGGGAGATCTTGGACAGCAAAGATTAGATCTGACCATTGAAGTTGGGCGGCAAAATTAGATCCACGATCGGATCGGGGAAGGAAGAGAAAAAGAGAGGAAGAAAAAACATACCTGGGCCAATGAAAGAGAGATGATGTCAAGGAACCAACTCAACCAAAAGCTCAAGCTTGTGATTGTGGCCCAGGAACAGTTATTTATATTCTAACACGCCCCCTCACGTGCAGGCGTAGTCTTTTTCGAACCTTGCACGTGAAACCTTAATTTTTTTAAACTAGGTGGCGCTGAGTTTCGAACCCGTGACCTCTTAGTCAACGAGGCTCTGATACCATGTCAAGGAACCAATTCAACCAAAAGCTCAAGCTTATGATTGTGGCCCAGGAACAGTTATTTATATTTTAACAGATGAAGAGAAGAGGGAGAGAGAATGTCAATAGTGTTGGGAGATTGGAGAGTAGATGTTGAAACAGTAGGATAATCATTTCACACCCTTTTTTAGGATGTGGGAAGGTAGTTTTAAGACAATGAAAATGAGGAAGTGGGAAGACGGTTTGAGGATGGAGGTAGTAGTAGTAGTAGTAGTAGTAATAATAATAATAATAATAATACTAATATTAATATTAATATTAATATTAATAGTAATAATAATAGTAATAATAATAATAATAATAATATATAATAACAAGAATTAGAATGAGAAAAATATAAAAATACACAAAAAAATAAATAAAAGTGTTTTTAGATTTTTCAATTTTTTCTAGTTGTTTCGGTTTCATTAAATTTTTTTTCTTAGTTTCTTTCAGTTTCTTCTAGTTCTTCCAGGTTTTTCGAGTCCTTCTAGTTCCTTACATTTTCTTCCAGTTCCTCCCGTTTTCTTCCAATATCCAGCTCTTTTTTTCCAGTCCTAGTCCTAGAGAACAAGCTCTTATTAGGGAAAAAAGACTGAAGTAGGATTAAAACATTAAAGATATATAAAAATATGAGTTCCATGTTTTTATTACAAAATATGAGTTAAAATTCATTTACATTACAAATCATGGTCATGTACATGACATAAAATGAACATTTACGGTGCCACATTACTATAGTGCAAAGTCCTATTTAGAGAGTATAAACATAGAACTTTTATTATTTTGACACTATCTCTACATTTTAATCCTATTTAGGCTGATATTTTTTCTTATTACTTACTCCGTCAAACTAGATAGAAACAACTTTAAGAATAACAATGATTAGAAGACAAATGACCTAAATCTAGATTTTGGGCAGAAGTTGGGGTACATCTTTGTAGAGAGAGGTAGCTTTACTTATCATTTTTACACCGGTTGGAGTGGTCTGGAAGAGTGAAGACGCATGCCTCCCTGTAATCCCTGACCCTTAACCTAGACACTAGAGCAAAACGAACCGCGAAAGGAAGGGCGAGGAAGGCGCGTCGCCTTGCCTCATCTTCACTGCCGCCGGCTGCCCGCCTCACCTCGACGCTGCCCTCGTCCCTCCTGGTCGGCGCCGTCCAGCAGGCTCTTCAAGTATGTTTTATTGATTTTAATAATTACTCCGTAAATCCCTAATTTTAATTTGTCTTTCAAATTTTAATCTTCTACTTTCTTCTTCTATGAAATTTAATACGGAGTATTTACTTAGAATGATTAAGGAACGCAATTTGATAAAAAAAGATGTTTTTTTCCTCTTTTAAAAATATTGTTGTTAAAATGCTAATTGGTTCAAGTGGTTTAACCGTTTAAGAATTTAGGATTCTCTACTTTTATATGCTCGGGTTAGTATTTGTTATCAGAAATAAAATAAATGTGAAAGTTTGGAAGAAGTGCAAATGGATAGTTTGATTGACGATTCCTCATCAAAATATGCAAAGATGATGTCTCTATTTACTTTTGTAAACTTATAGTGATGTTTTCTCCTTCATTCTTACAAGTTCAATCATTATTATAAAATTCTTCAAATTTTGCATTTGTGAGATTTTGTTTTCGCACAGGGCCTTTTTATGTTTTGGACTGGCCTTGATCTGGGAAGCCATTCTACAACTTGTGTTCCGTATGAATTTGCAGATGTTAGTCTCCTCAGAATCTCATTTTCTTGTCCGGGTGCTGAATGGCACCTTCCAAATCCTAGACTCTATCAAAGACCGAATTGGTTTGGTAGTTAGTGATTTTTTCAGCTCCATTCCCAGCTCAGAGTTGCTCAATGCAAGGTATCTTCCTTCGTAGCCAAGGATCAAATTGCTTTTCAAATGTGTATGAACTGCGTATTAAGTTTTCCTTTTAATTATTATTTTAGATTCGTGTGTAGGAAAGGTGGAATTATGCAAAGTGCTATATGTCACAAACCAAAAACTAAAGATAGCTTGTCCGAGAGGAACGAGCTGCCTCCAAATCCGGATGGAGATATGGGTGCAGTGTTCAATGTTTTGGATTCGATGTTGAAGGACATGTTGGACCGTTTAAAGAGTATGAGGTTAGTGGTACATATAAGTAGTGCTGCAAAAGTGTATCTTGCTTGAAATCTGTTCATCAAGAAATCATGGAAGAACCTGAATTTTCACATTCATAGGCTTAAGTTATTTTTCTGTACTAGAAGATTGTCAAGACTCAAGATTCAACACTCAACAAGGAAACACCCCCTCTCTCTTAAAATGGATCAGCATGTATATTATGTGAGACTGTGGTTATACTGGTTAATAGTACCTTTGTAATTGCTGTTTCGTTTAGGCCACCTGCACACAGAGGATAAAACAAACTATACTAAGTGGATTATGTTATGTTAGTAATTTGTACAACTATATCATCGGGCTACAATTAAGTTGATTTACTCTTTGCTAATAGCATTTATTTAAAATGATCCCAATTTTCCAAGCAATTACAGTTATTAGTAATGTCAAATTTTGAAACATGATTCAGCTTTTTGGGTTGCTATAACAAATCAAAATTAGCCTGTGGAATGCTGATGATTTGGCAGAGTCCTGTTTCTTTGATTAGTAGATCATGTCTCACTTTCTTTTCCCTGCCAAATGTTACATAAGACATATGTTTACATGGAAGATGGAAGTCTGTTTTGGTTTATCTATTAATAATAGAATACAAGCTTCATTAAAGTTATTCATCCCCGCAACTAGCTTTAGGTATTGAATTCATGATATTTATGCAGGGAAGAAACAATACGGACCTGCGTTGGCTTCGATAGCATATCAAAGAAAAATCTGCATATTTATGAACAATTCATTAGAGAATTGTGTATGGAAGGTAAAGTGGGGGCAGCTTTCTCTCTCTGCAGCAAGGTGATGCATAAATATGGCACTCCTAGCATATATACTCACAACTATCTTATTAATGGACTCTGTGAAACTGGCAACTTGGACAAAGCCTTATGGATTGTTGAAGAGATGAAATGCAGGGGTCCTAGTCCTAGTTGTGCTACATATAATGCCTTAATTAAAGGTTATATCCTTATGAATAATATTGACAAAGCTCTGGAGATATTCTCAACAATGGACAGCAATGGCATAACCCCAAATAGAGTTTCTTGTAACATACTTGTTGATGCACTTTGTAAGAAGGGTTTTATTCGGGAATCAAAGAAACTTTTGAAGATGATATTAAGCGATAAGCATGATGACCCAAGTTTAATCACATCAACTATAATCATGGATGGTTGCTTTAAACATGGTGATAGTAGTCAAGCTCTTGCCACATGGGAGAGGTTAAGGAGTATTCCAATCGATCGTATCACCTACAATGTTATCATCAATGGTTACTGTTTGAAAAGGGACAAGATCATGGCACTCAGCTACACGTGTCAAATGCTGAAGACTGGTTTTATGCCTGATATCTTTTCTTACAACATGTTAATTGGTTTGCTTAGCAAGGAAAGACAAATGGATGAAGCTTGTTATATCTTCTCTGTTATGACAAGAATGGGTGTTCGTCCAGACAGAATCACTTACAAGATCATTATTCAAGGGTTGTGTATGAGTGGGGATGTTGCTAAAGCAAATTATTTCCTATGTTGTATGCTAGAGAATTCTATTATACCTGAACCTCTCATTTGGAATGTTATTATTCATGGCTATGGGAAGCTTGGAAATGTACATAGAGCTGAAGACGTTAGAAGCCAGATGGTGGCATCAGGTGTTCTACCCAATGTATTTACTTACAATGCCCTGATTTATACACATATAAACGATCAAAATTTCATTAAAGCTTACTCAATGAAAAGGGAGATGCTATTACATGGAGTTTTCCCTGATGCGGTTACGTTTAATATGCTGATTGGTGCAGCATGTAGTGTTGGCGATATTGATTTCGCACTCCGCCTACATGGAGATATGTTGAGAATGGGCTGTGAACCAGATGCTATTACTTACACCGAGCTGCTTCGTTACTGTTGTATATCGTATAAAATGAAAGAGGCAGACTGGCTCTTTGACAGGATAAGGAGTTCAGGGATAAGACTAGACCATGTTCCGTTTCTNCGTTTCTACTATTGATGAAAAGATACTGGGGGATGAGGGAGCTTGACAAAGTGTATGTTCTTTATCAAGAATGGTTAATGATAAAGGACATTTAATTGCTGCCCACAAAAAGAATATTGATGTTAAGCTTGTGATGGAATTAGTAAAGAGGATGCGTCCACCAAGACAATAGATGGATTCTGCTGAACCTCGGTGAAGCTTCTGTGAGTGCATTGAATACACTTTTCTGTGTGTGTGTGTGTGGGGTGTGGGGGGGGGGTTGGTTTTGTTTTGCTAATTCATTTCTATTTGTTAGTCTTAGATTGCCGTATAAATGCATCTTCACTTTCCAAACTTCCAACCACCTTACACTGTGGTTCAAGGATCTTGAAAGGCAAAAGAAAAGAAAATGAGGAAAATGTTTTTTCTTGTTTGGTTAGAGAGGAAAAGAAAATGAGAAGGCAAAATGTACTAAGATGAGGGAAAACCAAATTCCTTCCATTTTGGTTGGGAAAATGAGAGAATCATTTTCTTTTCTTTTCCTTTCAAATTCCTTGAACCAAACATAGTGTTAATATGGAATAAATTCAAAAGTTAAATATCACTCATCCCTTTATCTTCCGTTTGAAACATTCCAACCTAACAATGACATGTCATGTCTGTGCATTTTACGTGAGTGATGTTATTTACAAACCATTGTTCATAACTCATGCCGGCTCCAAAGCCATAAACTAGGACAGCCGCTACCGGCTAATATTCTGTTTGACTGAATGGGGTTTGGAGAAACCAGTCTATATTATAATTGATTATCATTTCAATCACATTTAATACATTTTTGGACACATTTCATTTATTGAAAAATAGACTAAGTCCTCCCAAGTCCTTTCCAAATTTGTCTAAAGCCACCCATCCTAACAGAGTCTAAGAGAATCTAGGAAAGCTCAATTTGGTAAGGCACATCTTGATTGTTAAGAGACTCTAGAAATTTGTTATGGTGACTTTGATAAGTCTTGTATAGACTTTTAACTTTTGAATGTTCTTTGTTGCTAGATTTTCGTGAAATTCCCAAGAGAAATTGAGGATAGTGTTCTGCTTTTCGACACTAAAAGGGGAATTACACATTGAGCTACCAAGGGGAAGACAAGGTATTATTTCCTTTTATGCATTTTGTGCAATCTATTCCAAATATAGTTGTAACTTGCAATGAAGAATTGTTTTTACACTGGTTGTGGTTTGTGAACTAGAAACTGCATGCAACCACATCTTGCTAATTCTAATTGATATGTCGTAAAACCGTCCATTCTTGGCATCATTTTTCGCCTTTGATGTCACATGTAGTAGGTGATAAGTTGTACTTGTATTTTCTAGGCCTTATTATCACATTGCTCATAGTTGAATTATTTGGGTGAAGAGATTCCCATTTCTTAATAGCAGTAATTGGAGACGAATATATAACAAGAAGAAGAAGAGCTATGAGACCATTGTTGACATCTTGGATGATCACGAGGTTTTTACCCGTTGTTCGATGGGGCAAAGCTGTGAATGGACCATGTAGGGGTGGACATGGTTCCGGTTCTGAACTGGTACCGGAACCGGAGCCCATAAATTTGGAGAACCGGAATCGTAACAAAAAATGAGGAATGCAGTTCTGGTTCCTATATTTTAGAACTGGAACTGGTGGTTATGTTTCTCAATTTCATTTCAATTTTTTGTTTACCTGTATTTATAGTAAAATTAATCATTGGATGCTTGTGTGTGTTAGAAATTGCGATCATTTTTTTGGTTTAGAATGTGTTAGATTTCTTTTGCCTATGGTTGTGTGGAGTAGTGTCGTTGCTAATATGTAAAACGGCACCGGTGGGCATTGTGCAGTTGGCAAAGACAAAGAGTGTCAAGGGGGTAAATCTGAGTTCAATTTTTGGCAATTGTAGTGGGAGGCAACTATGCTAAAAATAAGGTCTTTATAAGTACCAAGTGTAGGTTCCACTTTTTACCATCGATCTGCGACTAAAGTCTAATATATCTCTTCTCAGTGACCTCTCAGCCAGGCTTGCGGGAGTCATCGAGAATGTGACTCAATATTTTTTAAAAAAATATCTAAAATGGCACTGACACTCACGGGTAGCAAAATTGCATGTGATCCACTTGTCATTTACTTAGAGAGTAAGTTTTTAATGGATCATGCTACACTTACACCAAAAAATGTACCCCATTTGTACACCACAAGTTTGCACAAATATTTCGATGATTTACACCGACACAAGTGTTGGTGCGTTAATAAAAATTTACGCGGACACAAATGTTGGTGCGTTTAACAAAAATTAGTTTTACACCACACAAAGTGTTGGTGCAAAACTGCGGGGTACAAATTGGGGTACAAACCTTGGGGTACACATAGCATAATCCTAAGTTTTTATATAGCAATAGTCCAAATTGCATGTACCCACAATAATTTTCAAAGGATAAAGCTACTTCTACCCCAACCTTTTATACTCCACTTTGTATCCCGCAGGTTTGCACCAACATTTTGTGTTGGTGTAAAACTAATTTTTGTTAACGCACTAGCACTTTGTGTCCGTGTAAATTTTTGTTAATGCACCAACATTTGTGTCGGTGTAAACCATCAAAATGTTTATGTATAACTTGTACAAATGTGGTACAATTTTTTATGTAAATGTAGCATGGTCCATTTTCAAAATAGCTGTGGTGTTGTCGCTACTCGCTACAGTGCTACGGTGCAGTCATGTTCCTTGGAGAGCTCTCTTTAAATAATAATGATTATGATACACTTACACCAAAATTTTTACTCCAAAGATATAGCCTTGATTGCTGTACAGGTACAAAAAGTTGGGGTACAAATATCTTTATCCAAATAATACTCCGTAAATGTACAACTACTTCCTCCCCAAAGATATAGCCTTGATTAGTTTTCAGGTTTCTCAATAATTTTTATTTATCTGTCTTTTATTAATTACTTTATAAAATAAAAATATTCTCGGTTCATCATATTTTATACTCTCTCCATCCCAATTTATAGTACATGTTTTGGTTTTTGATGTTTGACTGAAATTATTTTTAATTCATTTTATATGACAAATGGTATATAATTAAAAAATAAAAATTATATATTAAATTAATACATCAAAAGATCTACAAAACTATTAGTGACAAAAATATTTTATTTTATCAAATTGATAACAAAAATAGAGAAAGAAAGTGAATGAAGTTTGATCCTGTGAATAGTGAACATGCACTATAAATTGGGACGGAGGAAATAGATTTCTTTATGTGATTTGAGAATATACAACTTGTACTTTTCATTTCTATATCGATTTATAAATAAAATAATTTTAAAAGATAATATGGAGTTTATCTTATTCGACATTGAATTAATATTTTAACTGTTATTCACATTGTCTCAAAATAAATGTCACTTATTTTATTATAATCCTAAAAATCAAGTTCACATCCCTTTTATGGAATGGTTTGGGTTGTCCATATATATTCTCTTCTTTACATAAATCTCAAGTTCTTGAGTAAATATTTTACTCCGTACTTTACTTAATTTACGTGAAAACTTCAATTTGGTAAAGTTTTTTTTTTAATTTTTCAATTGTAATATATTCCATTTGTCCCAATTTATATTGGGGAAGGTTCAAATGACATTGAACCTTAATGTCATAGGATGACCCGGGGCCGCTCCGGTGCCCCGTTCGTAAAATTGACGGTTCCTACCCCCCCTAAACCCCCGGTAAACTCCCCACCCCGGCCCCGACCCGAACACATCCCCCCACCCCCTTCAATTGCACCCCACAAGTTGATTTTGACTTTGGAGTCAAATTTTGACTCCAAAGTCAAAATCAACTTGTGGGGTGCAATTGAAGGGGGTGGGGGGGTGTGTTCGGGTCGGGGCCGGGGTGTGGGGTTTACCGGGGGGGTTAGGGGGGGTAGGAACCATCAATTTTACGAACGGAGCACCGGAGCGGCCCCGGGTCATCCTATGACATTAAGGTTCAATGTCATTTGAACCTTGGTGATTTATATTAGCAGTTTTGATTTACGATATTTGGCTGAAGCTTTTTCTGAAGATAATTTATTTGAGAATTGGGGTGAAATTAGAAAATAAAATTTACATATCTTAAACAACATTTGAAGTTCTACCTAACAAAAAGTGTTAAATTAATCCTATGTGTGACTTCTACTGTTAGATTCTCTCACTCAGCGTGAAAGCTGAGCGTGTAGTTTGTTTTACTTGCTACATGTCGGTAATAGATATGACGAACAAAGAAATAATCCTGGGGGAAGTGAGGAAAAGGAGATGGATGGGTACTTGCTGAGGATTTTATTTTTCAATGTAGTACTATTGTTCAATGTCTACTGATCATTGTTCAAATAAATGTCCACCGCCACTAGACATGATTCAAACTAAATGTCCAACATCACTGGACATTGCTCTCGATCCTATACATTATTCAAGTACTATTTAGAAAATAAAAAAGTTTAAGTACTATATTAGAAAAAGACATATATTTTAGTACTATTTAGACATATATTTTAGTACTGTTTAGTGCAAATTAAACTTAATTTTTTAAGTCTGAATTTATTATATTTATGGTCAAGAATCCAAAGTTATGTTTGAAATAAGTATTTAAGCTTCCATACCATTTTATATTACTCTGATGGATATTTTAAGTAATGTTTTGAATCAAATGTTTTAAAGTGTTTTGAAAGTTGTTGTGTTTGGGTGCCAATCTAGTGACTACTCGATTCGCTAGACCGTGTATTCGGGTTACGCGAGTCGGGGTATGGTATTACAACACGAATTCGTGGACTATGCAAAAGTTAACTCGCTTGGCATTAAGAACAATAGCCATTATAAGTTGTTCAAGAAGTATTAGGTCGGAACCTTGATGAGCAGGGCTCAAACCTTTCATTATTCAATTTAAATCTATTAAATACTCCCTCCGTCCCAAAAAGATTTACACTGTTAGGGTATATAACAATCATTCCTGGGCCACAACCACAAATTTGAGCTTTTAGTTGAGTTGGTTCCTTGACATAGTATCAGAGCCTTGATGACCTGGAGGTCACGAGTTCGAAACTCACCGCCACCCAGATTAAAAAAATTAAGGTTTCACGTGCAAGGCTCAAAGAGGTCACGCCTGCACGTGAGGGGGCGTGTTAGGGTATATAACAATCATTCCTGGGCCACAACCACAAGCTTGAACTTTTGGTTGAGTTGGTTCCTTGACATACACCTTTCAAAAAAATTGCGTCCCACAATCTTCTACCCATTTCTATTAAAAACCCACTTTTACCCCTTACCTTTTCAAACCCTACCTATCACATCATACATTTTTCCTTATAATATATACATCACATCCTACTTTTACAAATCAAATCAAGGTTATTTTTGGAAAGTCAACACAAAATTATCCCTCCCTTAATTTCCACTTTAATCAAAATGTGTAAAACTTTTTGGGACTGAGGAAGTACATAATTTCTTGTTTGACGAGAAATAAAAATTGGAAAAGCATATAAGTTAGTATGTGTAACACTTGTAACTAGTCTATTGCTCGAGAGTATAATGTAGATCATGCAATGTGCTTGTATTTGTTACTCTTGTTTTTAATCTCTAGAATACGATGGATGTTCTTTTTTTCTTACTAAATACGGAGTATATTGTACGGAGTATCAAACATGTTTTTTTTTCCGCCGTTCTTCCGTATCCAATCCCAAAAATGGCTCCGAAGCAGCCGAACAGTGGGCTATTCGTGGGGCTGAACAAAGGTCATGTGGTGACCAAGAAGGAACTCGCTCCGCGCCCCTCCGACAGAAAAGGAAATTAAAAACGAGCAAAAGGCCGGCCTGGCCGGGTACATTTCGTAAGAAGAAGTGATCTCTGATAAAAGGATCATTTTTTCTTCAAGAATTTGCCAGTGTATTCTGTTTTTAGAGTTTTATGTTGACTTGAGAAGCTTTCTTTTTTGATAAATACTACCATGCGAGTACTTGTATTAGTGTGGTTTTGAACACCTTCATGATATGCAAAAAAAAAAAACATGTTTTTTTGGGTGACCTTGCTTGAACAGGATCTATTCCATAGGGTTGCACCTCGAAATTCGAAAACATGTTTTTTTTTGTCTTGTTTGGAATACGTGATAGAATTTAGGATGACTATGGACAACTAGATTAAGTAATAAGACACTTGGATTGAACCACATTAAAAGATTAAATCTGATGGTGTAAATTACTTGACCGGTCAAATTATATTAGACCGGGTCTAGAATAGTTGGCTTGATTCAGTAAAGCAAAGGAAGTAAAAACACTCAGAATGACTGGTAGGACTTTAGGTGGAACACCTGTAGCCCAAGTTATATTATAACAGAGAATGCACGGTCACTTTTACAAGGGAGTTTAGAGAGAATGAATTCGGATCCCCTTCTTCGAGGGTCACAAGAGGTATTTATACTAAGTCTGGGGGGACAGGACCACGTGCGTCCACGTGGGGGCCTGTTGCTGGCGTGGTGCGAGGTGACTGGCTTTGTCCTCGAGCTGCCCTGTCACCTTGCGAGAGGGATTATTCCCTTTGTCGCGTTCTGGCTTGGAAAAATGCCTTCAGCATCTCTGCGACGCCAGTCACTACAGTCCAAGTCTCTTTTGGATTCTCCCTGCCGACACTTTCCACCCTCTGAAAACTGCACCGGTTGGTTCTCGGAGGTTAGGTTTGCTAACTTCAAAGGATGAATTAGACGCCGGCATAGTTTGACCGGTACACTATCTGAAGTATACCGGTCAACTGTTTGGTCAACCAGTCATCCCTCTACTGACGATTCAAATCTTTCTTTCAAGTTTGACTCCTTTGACCGGTCAACTATCTGGCTCCATCTTTTGACCGGTCATGGGTGAAATACACCCATCAATAAGCCCTCCACTTCTCGGTTATGCAATTTTGTCATAAGTGGGAAGTAAAAAATATGAAATAGGACTTCAATTTTGAATTTTGGCTTTTCCCGCTCGCATATTTCAAATTCAAATTTGAAAAGTATCCGTTTGGACACGTGTTGAAGACTGAGCGCGGTCAGCCCCGCGCCCTTTCGCCTTCCCAGGTGCAATGATGGCGCCGCTTGACGCGGCGCGCCCTGGTGAAGCCACGTCGCCTCCTTCTCCTCTCTCCTTGCCTATATAAAGGCTTCCAACCCCCTTGCCTTCCTCACTTCTTCCTCGCGCGTCTCACGAGTTTCACCGGCCAGCTTCCTTTCTCTTGCTTTCCAGCCCTCCGAGCCAAGTAAGCTCTCTTTTCTCTTCCTTAACTTTCTTTTTGTTCTCCGCTTTTCTTTCCGGTCGATGTCTTCCCCTGATAGTCAAGATATTTCTGCCTCAGATGCCCACGCATCTGAGGAATCCCTGTCTTCCTCTTCGTCGACCAGGTCATCTTCACCCGTTCTTGGACCCCGGTCGGTTCCCAATCCCAACATCCCCGAACCATAGCCGGTCAACCAGATGCCCGGTCAGATTTTTCAGGAGAGGGATGCACCGGTCGAAGACGAACCGGCCCCCTATGACCCTGAAAATGAGTCGTACGAGAAATGGGTGGACCGGCTAGAAGCAGCCGGTTATTCTCCCCTTCCTAGCAGCTACCCCTTAGACATTCCTCCCCGGGTCTCTAAGATTGCGCAAAACAAAGCCGTAGGAATCTCCCGGCGGGGTATGTTCTTGAGTACGACCCCAACTGGCACCGTCTTCCCCCTCCATCCTCTCTTAGTAGAGTTATGTCACTGTTTTAAGATTCTCCCCGGGCAGATTACGCCCAACGCACATCGTTTTCTCAACGCCTTTGTGAATATCTGTGTAGAGCTCAAAATTGATCCTTCCCTTCGCTTGTTCCTTTTTTTGTTTGAAGTCCTCCCCGGTAAATCGGGTTGTGACGGTTATGTTTACTTCAGAGGTCGTAATGGTCGTCAGTTCATTTCTGACCTTCCACAAAGCAATAGGCAGTGGAAGGAAAAGTTTGTTTTTATAAAATTCCCCATCGATTCTCCCTTGGCCGGTATTAAGTAGAATGATCACATCCTCAAATCCCAATACACCGAGCCGGCTAGCGCTCCAGACTTGGAAGAAAGTTTGGAGAAACTTCTACAGGGGGACCCGTTCACCGGGCAAATGTTCCATTACGGGGCCTGGATTTGGAGGATCCAACCGGGTGGCAAGGGTACCCCCCAGGCCCAGAAGGCAGCGGGGCACGGGGTACCCTCCCCGGGCAACACTGCTGAGGCCGGGGGCCCAAGTCACCCAGGTATCTTTCTTTCATTCTCCTTAGTTCAATCTCACCGGTCAGAGTTTGAATACTCACAAGTTTTTTTTTTTTGCTTTTTTTTTGTTTTTGTAGACATGAATTTCAGGGCCTACAACATGCCGAAGACAACCGGTGGCTCTTCCTCCGCTGCCGCCAAAACTGTACCGGTCCAACAGGAACCGGTGGAGATCCATTCTGAGGAGGAAACTCCTCAAACCGGGGGAGCTGCTCAGGCCGGGAACATCCCGGTGAATCCTCCCCTCGACAAGGGAAAAGGGAAGATGAGGATGAAGAAGACCGCCACCACCCATCCAGCGGCGAAGAGGAGAAGGGGGGAAAACGCCCCGGGTGCAGAGTCAATGGAAGAGCTTTGGGTCAAGATGACTCTCAAACTGAAAGAGATAATATTCGCCCGGTGTTCTTTTCAAATTTGCTACCTGTCGCTTGTACTAACCGGTATGTTTTCTTTTCGCAGATGGGCGAGGTCGGGCCGGAAACTTTGGAGAAGCTCGCAGAGGACTCCACCTCCCGGTCACTTCAGCTGGAGGAGAAACTGAAGGGAGTTGAAGCCCACAACCGGGAGCTGCAGGAACTGATAGCCCGGCAGCTTGAAGAGGTGTCCAATCTTTCTATGATTGCCGAGGGGGGCAAGGCGGAGACCCTCCAGCTGAAGGAGGAGAACTTGAAGCTGATGGAGGACTTGGAGCTGAAGGAGTGTGAGTTCCCCGGCAAGGCCAAGCAATGGGTTGGGGAGAACTTGGAGGAGACGGCCCGGGTGATTACATCTACCCCGGAGGTGACGATGGAGGCCTTCAAGTTCATCTACCGGGAGGAGCAGGGGAAAGAGATGATCACACAGATCGGCTCTTACGGTTTTATGTCCGGGCAGAAAAGAGACCGGGAGGCTACACATGCAGTCCTGACGGAACGTGATCCGGCTTTTTCTGCTGAAGCCTATGGTCTGGCCCCCATCCCTGATGAAGAGCCTGAACCCCCCTTCCCTTTGGAGTGAATTCTCCCCGGCTGCGCCCGGTCATTTTTGTAAAACTCCAAACTTGAAATTTCCCCGGTGTGCCCGGTGTACTTGTAAACATTTAACATTCTTGTTCTGTCGAATGTCGTGTTTAATTTCATCACCGGTTAATCTTCCACATCTTGCTTCCTTAATTGCTATTTTGCTTTTGTTCCTTAGAATGCCTTCGCAAAAACTTTGACCGGTTAAGATTCGATTCTTTGCTTTGCCTCTTGATAGACTCTAACCGTTGTAACTCCAACTATTGTTTTCAGATGTCTTTAGGCTGAAGATCAACTAGAATAAGCTTGACCGGTTAAGCTTCAACCTCGATCCGTTGAGCTCCAACTCTGATGGTGAACTTGCAATAGTTTGACCGGTCATACTTCCTTTTGAATTCTTGGTACCTTCGTTTTGGTAGTGTAGATTTTTCGATAAAGTGCAGTTTGACCGGTAGGTCCCTTCCTCACGGTCTGCCCGGTAAACCGCTTTGCCTTGTAGAACTTTCGAAGTTTCGTCGTATCAATACCCAACTGGGGTATTCCTTTTTTTTTAGTTTGACCGGTAGGTTGTAGATGGAACACCTGTAACCTAGTAATTTCTTGAAGTATCCTTAACCGGTAAGAATACTGGAGATTTAACCATGTTCGAATGGTTTCGAACCCTCTCCAAGATCCAAATGCACCCTTCTTCCAGAGCCCCCTCTTCCGGGTGATTAAGTCTTTTAATGGCCCTTTAATTTCTACTATCCCGGGAAGGCCTTAGCTCACCCCCCCGTTCCAGTCTTCCCTGAGAAGGGGAAAATAGGATGCGCCACGGTGGACGATCCCCTTCTATTTCTTTTAATGGGCATCTTTTAGTCCCCAATCAATTTGACGGCGCCGGCTGATTCCCCGACACCGGTCAAACCTTATGGGCCCGTGTAAGTACGGTTCGAACCCTCTTCCAGGTCCAGCCCTCTTGCAGGCATACCCTCTTCCAGGCCCCTCTTCCGGGTTTTAATATTTTTTCTATTATACTGAGTAAGACCGGTGTAGTAACCAGCATGTCAGGTCCGGGCCTGTGTCTTAGTTGGCTTATCCGAGTGGATCCGATCCACCCGGGAAGCCCTCCTAGGATAGGTTTGACCTATCAATTCTGCTGCTACCATGTAGAATATTGAACCTTAATTTGGTTGATAATTGAAGTAGGCCTTGCCTAGTATTACAATCACTTGTAGAACTTGCGAAGATGGTGGGAATTCCAGGTTCGTTCTACCGGTACACCATCTAAAGTTTCTAACCGGTAGGTTCCCGGGCGGATGATGGCTCTCACCCGGTATGGGCCTTCCCAGTGTTTGGCCAGTTTTCCCCCATCGCCCGGTCTACTAGCCTCTCTTCTTCGCAAGACTTCATCGCCGACTTGGAAGTATCGCGGCCCAACCCTGTTGTCGTGGTACTTCTTCACAACTTGCTGGTATGTGCTCATTTTAATCTCCGCGGCCATTCTTCGTTCTTCGACCAAGTTGAGCTCGACCAAGTGGTCTTCTTCGTTTTGCTGGGGCTGATAGTTCGATTCCTGGAACGTTGGGATTCAGCTTCGATGGGTAGCCTTGCCTCACACCCATAAATTAGGGAAAATGGAGTTTCCCCATGAGCCCTCCTGGGTGTTACTCGAAACGCCCATATGATGTGCGGGAGTTCTTCCAGCCACTTATTTCCTGCTTCTCCCAGCCTCTTCTTCAGACCATCCACAATAGTCCTGTTGGCATTTTCCATTTGGCCATTTCCTTGGGGGTAGGCCACCGAAGAACGGTTGTGCTTAATCCCAAAGCCTTCCAAGTATTCGGTGAATCTTGGATTTCGGAATTGTGGGCCGTTGTCGGTGATTAGGTTCATGGGAGCTCCAAACCTTGTGATGATGTTCTTCCAAATGAATTTTTTACATTGTTGCGTGGTGATGTTGGCCAACGCTTCGGCTTCGATCCATTTGGTGAAGTAATCGATGGCCACGATTACGAACTTCTTCCTTCCCTGGGCAATTGGGAATGCTCCAATGATATCCACCCCGAATCTAGAGAATGGGATGACATTCGATACGGGGTGATAGTAGGTCGCCGGTCTACCAGGATACTTGTAGAATACCTGGCACGTTTTGCATTTCTGAACATATCTCTCACAGTCCTGGACAATTGTTGGCCAGTAGTACCCCAACAAGATAATGCGCTGGGAAAGAGTACGGGACATCTGATGCGCTGCGCATACACCTTCGTGGACCTCTGCTATGACTCGCTCAGCCTCCCGGTTGGTGAGGCACCTCAGGAGGGGTCCTCCGAATGCCCTCTTGTACAGCTTTCCGTCAAGGACTTGGAACCGGGGTGCCCTGAGCTTCACTTTTCTTGCCCAGTCATCTTGTTCCGGCAAGGTTCCGTCCATCAGGTATTCCATCAGATCATACATCCAGTGGTCATCCGCTCCGACCATGTTTGACCGGTCAGGTTGGTCTGCTCCTGTTATGGCGGCTACTTCCAATTTTTCGATGCTGGCACGGTCGAGAATTTCCACCCGGGCAAGTTTTGAAACATGCTCGGGAGCGTACTGTGTCAATTTGGAGAGAAGGTCTGCATCCGCATTTTCCCCCCGGGGGATCTGGGCGATCTTGAATTCCTCGAAGCCTTTCAATAAGGCAAGTACCAAGTCCTTGTACTGTGCCATTGGCCCTTCCCTGGCTTCCATGTTACCGGTCACTTGCCCAACGATCAAACTGGAATCAGATTTGATACTGACCCGGTTGATCTTCAGGGCTTGGGCAAGTCTGAGCCCTCCAGCCAGAGCTTCATACTCTGCTTCATTGTTCGTCAGCTTGAAGTTGAAGACGATTGCATGGTAGATTTTGAACCCTTCTGGAGTGGTAAACACGATACCACCCCCGTATCCTCTGGGACCGGATGCCCCATCTACTGCCATCTCCCACCATTGCTCGGTAGGCTTGTCGACCGGTGCATCTGGAGTTATACCGGTCATTTCCACGAGGAAGTCCGCAAGGGCTTGCCCTTTAATTGCTGATCTCGGTCGGTACTCAATGTTGAATTGAGTTAACATCATCGCCCACTTCACCATCCTTCCGGAGGATGTTGAATTTCGCAATACTGCACCCAGCGGTTGGTCAGTCAAGACTTCTACCGAGTGAGCTTGGAAGTAGGATGTTAACTTCTTTGCGGAGATGAAAAGTGCGTAGGCTGTTTTTTCCATCGCCGTGTATCTACTTTCTGCTCCGTTTAGTGCTTTTCTCACATAATAAATGGGCTTTTGTGCCCCATCATCTCTTATTAAAACAGAGCTTACAGCATTTGGGGAAATTCCCAGGTACAAATACAGAGTTTCACCCGGTTCGGGTTTAGACATTACAATATCCGACACTAGGTACTCCTTCAGCTCCTCAAATGCCCTCTGGCACTCTTCGTCCCATGCAAACGTGTTGGCCTTCTTCAGAACTTTGAAGAAGGGCAGGGATCTCTCAGCTGACCAGGAAAGGAATCGGCTGAGGGCCGCTAGACGACCGGTCAACTTTTGAACATCCCTAACGGAAGTAGGGGCTTGCATTTCAGTGATGGCCCGGATTTTTTCTGGGTTGGGCTCTATTCCTCTCTTGGTCACCATGAATCCCAAGAACTTCCCGGTACGAACCGCGAAGACGCACTTCTTAGGATTCAACCGGAGGTTGTATCTTGCCATGATATCAAATGTGGCGCGCATATCAGCCGGGTGGTTGAGAGATACCTGGCTTTTGATTAGCATGTCGTCGACGTACGCCTCCATGGTCTTTCCTAGCAATGGCTTGAAGAGCTTGTTCACCATGCGCTGGTAAGTTGCCCCCGAGTTCTTCAAGCCAAACGCCATCACCCGGTAACAGTAGGTTCCTTCGGGTGTGAGGAATGACGTTTTTTCTTCATCTTCCTTGGCCATGTAGATTTGGTGGTAGCCCTTGAAGGCATCCATGAAACTCAGGAGTTCGCACCCCACAGTTTCGTCCACCATTTGATCAGGACTGGGGAGGGGGTATGAATCCATCGGACAAGCCTTGTTTAAGTCCGTGTAATCCACACACATTCTCCACGTGTCGCCTTTGGGAGCAAGAACAATGTTGTCCAGCCAATCCGGGTACTTGACCTCCCGGATGTGACCGACGCTGGGGAGGTCCTTCACCTCCTTCTTGACGAAGTCTCGCCGGTCACTGGCCAGGTACCTTTTCTTCTGGCGTACCGGTTGACTTCCATCCCTCACTGCCAGCCGGTGACATATGATTGAGCGGTCAATTCCGGGCATATCTGCCACGCTCCATGCAAATATGCCCGCGTATTCTTGGAGCACCCGTGTAATCTCTGCTTTGAGATCTTCGGGGAGGTTTGCTCCAATTCTAACCATCCTTGATGAATCACCCGGGTGAAGTTCAATCTCCACCGTTTCTGCTTCAGGCTCCAACTTCTCCCGGGTCTCTCCCTTGGTGATTTCCTGGGAGATGACGTTGACCCCCTTGGTCATCTTCTTGACTGCCCGGGCATAGCACTCCCGGGCATTCCTCTGTTCACCCTTCACCTCACCCACACCACCTGGAGTGTGGAACTTCATACATAGATGAGGCATGGAAATCACCGCCCCGACTCTATTGATGCCTGGCCTTCCAAGAATTGCGTTGTGGACGCATTTAATGTCCACAACGATGAACCGCATGTTCTTCCACACGGTCTTCTCCCCTGATCCTAGTTCGACCAGTAGAACTATGTATCCTTCAGCTTCAACGGTGTCTCCCTTGAAGCCTGAGAGAGGGGTTTTGAGGGGTTCAAGTTGTGTCCGACACAACCTGAGTTTTTGGAAAGTCTCCAAGTATAAGATGTTGACACTGCTACCGGTGTCAACAAGTACCCGGGCGACATCCACCCCATTAATGTCCATGGTGATGACCAATGGATCATTGTGATCTTCACCGGTAGGAGGGAGATCCCGGTCAGTAAAGACGATCGGCTCCCTCCTAGTATGTTTATGCCTGGGCGGTTCAGCGCTTACCTCACCAACGTAAATGCTCCGGACCCAGTTCTTCCGTTGCGCGGCTGAGTCTCCACCCTCAGGTCCGCCGAAGATCATGCCTATGTGTTCCTTTTCAGGGGCAGGTTGCCGCTTTTTCGGCCGGTTATTCCTCCGCCGGTCGTTGTCCCGGTCATCCCCCGGGATAGCTGGCCTAACCCACTGGTGGTTCTTCTCCTGGGCTTTTTGCAAATAATCTTTGCCCAGCTCTCCGCTGTCTATCATTTGCCGGATTACCCCCTTAACACTCTTGCATTCGGAAGTGTTATGGGAATCTGACCTATGGTACGAACAATAGGTGCCTGACCACTGCCGTCCTACTTGACCGGTAGGAGTTTCCGGAGGATTGACCGGGAAGGAAGCCGGGGCTTTCCTTACCTCCTGGCATTCTTCTGTGTTGACCATGCGGACGACCGGGTCATAATGGTGCCTTGGCCGGCTAGGTCCCGGTGCTTCTTCCTTCTTGACCTGCACCGGCTTGGGTTTGAAGCCATGCTCAGCTTCTTTCTTCGCCCGGAGTTGAGTTTCGGCCTCAGCAAACTCTCATGCAGTGTGGTAGGCCTCCTGATACATGGCCGGGGGTTTCCGGCAGAACTCCTTGTATAGTTCCCCAGCACGTAAGCCATTCAAGAGAAGGGACAAGACGGTTTTGTCATCCATCTCTTCCACCTTATCTACCTCTTCCTTCCACCGGGTAAGGAATTAAGTGAGGTTCTCAGACTCCCTCTGCCCGGCTGTACTAAGATAGGTGAATTTCTTCCTCTTAGTACAGTTCTCCTGGAACTTGGCCTTGAATTTTGAGGCCAAGTCACTGAATGAATCAATACTTCCCGGGCGAAGTTTATTGAACCATTCAGTAGCTCGATTCCGCAGGGTTTGGAAGAAAAGGAGGCACTTTTCTTCGTCTGTACAACCGTTCATGGTTGGACTCTGATTGAAGGAGTCGAGGTGAATTTCTGGATCTTCCTTCCCGGTGAATCTTGGGGCGTCTATCTTGACCTTTCGCGGGAAAGGTGTCAGATGGACCCTTTTGGTGAACGGGAACCCTGCGAGGGGCTTGTCCCTGTCATTCTTCTCCCCGACCTTCTTCTCCAGTCTTTCCAATTTTGCCTCCATCTGCTGGACGCGATCATTGGGGATGTTTAACCGGTTAGCCACCGGTACCCTGGGTTGGCTTTCTGCCTCCTCCTCCTGGCGAGAGGCCCTCGTCCTGGCTGGCTCCTGCCGGTTTGACCGGGAGCGTTGGGTGCGGGCAACGCTTTGCCCCAGCCTCAGCTTGGCTGACTTCCTCTGGCCCTCTTCCCTATCCCCCAGCCTTTCGAAGGCGGAGTTTCGGGAAGTTGCAGGGCGTATGGTCTTTCCCTTCTTCTTCTTGTGGGTCCTTGGAATGTCCCACTCATCGTCTCCGCTTTCAACTGAGACGCAGTGACCATCCGGAGTGATTAGCGGATTCGTACCTTGCGGGGGACGCGACGGCCCTGCGGCGTTAAGCGCACCTGCCAAGTTAATGGGGGCCACAGCGCTGACTAGCTGCGGCTGGAAAGGTGATGGCTGCGGAATCGGCGTCTGAAACGGCGTCACTGCCATCGGAGTTTGTAGGGGCATCGTTTCCGCTCCGGGAAGGGCGAACGGGAACATACCAGGGAGAAAAGGCATCCCCCCATTCTCTTGGCACATGGCCATGACCTGGCCAAAGCCCTGGATGGCCTGCAGGTTGGCTGGATCGTTCACGAACTGAGTCATGCTAGGTGGGAACGTGACCCTTGGCCTAGCGGAAGGGACGGGGGCTGTGAATGGGCTAACCATGCTGGGTGTTGGGACCGAGCTTAGTCCCAACGGCAAAACCGGAGTTGAAACGGCTGGCAGGGTAGCAACCATGGGGGCGCTGGTACCTTCAGTGGTGGCTTGCACCTGAGCAGAGGTAGCGTTGATTTGCTGGCTGGAAGACATTTTGAGTGGTGTTTTTGTGGGTAGGTTTGCGTTTAGAAGAGAAGAAACCTTAACGGTCCCACGGGTGGCGCCAAAAATGATGGTGTAAATTACTTGACCGGTCAAACTATACTAGACCGGGTCTAGAATAGTTGGCTTGATTCAGTAAAGCAAAGGAAGTAAAAACACTCAGAATGACCGGTAGGACTTTAGGTGGAACACCTGTAGCCCAAGTTATATTATAACAGAGAATGCACGGTCACTTTTACAAGGGAGTTTAGAGAGAATGAATTCGGATCCCCTTCTTCGAGGGTCACAAGAGGTATTTATACTAAGTCTGGGGGACAGGACCACGTGCGTCCACGTGGGGGCCTGTTGCTGGCGTGGTGCGAGGTGACTGGCTTTGTCCTCGAGCTGCCCTGTCACCTTGCGAGAGGGATTATTCCCTTTGTCGCGTTCTGGCTTGGAAAAATGCCTTCAGCATCTCTGCGACGCCAGTCACTACAGTCCAAGTCTCTTTTGGATTCTCCCTGCCGACACTTTCCACCCTCTGAAAACTGCACCGGTTGGTTCTCGGAGGTTAGGTTTGCTAACTTCAAAGGATGAATTAGACGCCGGCATAGTTTGACCGGTACACTATCTGAAGTATACCGGTCAACTGTTTGGTCAACTAGTCATCCCTCTACTGACGATTCAAATCTTTCTTTCAAGTTTGACTCCTTTGACCGGTCAACTATCTGGCTCCATCTTTTGACCGGTCATGGGTGAAATACACCCATCAGAATCCAATCAATTAGTTAGTTCAACTCAAGAGCTTATATACCGATCTTTTTACTCTTGGACTTTCGATGTAGGATGCACTCTAACACTCTGCCTCAAGTGGACAAACGGGTTTTTTTGAATCTAACCAGTTGACCACTTGCAAATGAACTCTCATTCCCTTGATTTTTTTGAGCGCCAATATCTAAAGGACCACGAGCCGCTGTGTATGGTCTTCCAGACGAGCAATCGTGTGCCACAGGCCATTGGGTACATACTCCATACGAACAACTAGGCTAAAGACTAACGGGCCGCTAGGAATGAATGTCTAGACGGACACCTTGACAAACTGTTGGAACACGGGTTTACGCCTTCGTCGTACTAAACTGTGTTCGTTTATGACAGGTTTTGATAATGCCAAACCGCCGCGACATATCGAAGCTAAAGTGAGCAAAACTAAGGCGAAGGAACATGACATGATGACTTGAGAACCAAGAACCCAGAATCAAGAACGAAGAACTAGAATTGTATTGAGTCGGTCTTAATGTGATCAAGACCGGCACAAAATTCCAAATCTTGGCTCTCTATGCTTAATTCATAAAAAAACTCCTTTACATATTCAAAAATACTTTTCTTAAAGTTTAAACTTGGGTCAAAACACTTGGAGTTCGCCCAAGCCAAAAACCAAGCCATTCGGCGTTCGGCTTTCAGAAACCGGCGTTCGGCTCTCGGTTTTCAGCATCGGTTTTTGGCGTCCGAACCAACCAAGTGGTTTTTAACTTTTTATAACTGGTTTTTACTTCTGGGCATATTTAAATAGTTCTCCAACAAAAACGCCTCAAAAACCACCTTCCGTTTTTGATCGTTTAGTGAAAACCATGCGAAACGGCACGAACTTGGCTAGCCGTGGTTTTCAACTAAATGACGTGGTTTTTAAGATGTTTTACTTGATTTCTTAGCAAA